TGAGATTGTTTGTCAATGTGTAGAGAGAAGTTTATCAATGGTAAGTTGATCGAAGAAATCAGCATTCGCTCTAATTAAAACATTGGTATTCTCTAGGTGATCGGTATGATGGCGATTGAGATGGTTGGTGGGATTTATTGTCCGTTATCACCCCGAGATCCACAACATCGTTTACATTCATTATTGCGGCAAACTCATAGTCGTCTTGTTCTTGTTCATTGGTTAACAAAGACGATTTCCAACAGGGACATTAGTCTTTTTAATATAGATTCGATATTGGTCAACAACATAAATCATGACATCAATAATGATCTATTGTCAAGCGTCATCGTGGCGTCAGACAGGATTGCTTACATTATTTTCACTAGTGGTTCAACAGGAACGCCGAAACCGGTTCGTAAGAAATAAATAATATGACGGAGTAGTATAATAATGTTTGCTTTCTATACAGGCTCAACTTCGACATAGAAACTTTGCTCAATCCATACGCGCTTTACTACATATTGGCATTATGAACACAAACGACACTCTACTACAAATGGCGCGATGCTCATTTGACATTCATGTACAAGAAATTATAGGAACACTGATAACTGGAGGCACACTAGAGATGCTTCATCCAAGAGGAAATATTGATTTTGAGTACCTTTCTATGATTTTACAAATGAAACAAATTACTTTTCTTTACACTGTGCCAACTTTGCTTCAAAGCTTATTTAACTTTGTCAGTGAGAGTAGGAAGTCGTTCGCTGTGAAATACCTTCGATCTATCTGCACTGGAGGTAAATTCCAATGAAGTGATTTTAACTATTGTTATCTTTCATTTTTTTAACATTTTCAGGTGAACGTTGTTCTGTAAAACTCGTTAAGTTATTAGAAAGTACTATAAACCAAAGCTGTCGTATATGGAATTTGTGTGGTCCAGCCGAGACGACCTTGCAATCTTTATTCCATCGAGTGGACTTAAACGTAGATAATGAGGCTGTTCCGCTTGGCACACCACTTCCTAATTATCATTGTATAATTCAAGATGATTTTGCTCAGCCTGTAATGTTAGGTCAAGAAGCAGAAGTCTTGATGGCAGGAGTAGGCATCTTCGCCGCATATCATGGTCGCCATGATTTGACAGCCAAGGCATTTCTTAACGTCAATAATGAAATATTTTATCGAACAGGTGACCTTGTTCGAATGGATAGCAATGGTCTTCTTCATTATCAAGGAAGAAAAGATCATCAAATTAAGTTGCATGGACAGCGGATTGAACTTGGAGAAATCGAACAATGTTTACTTAATACATCAATTTCTGCTTGTGTTGTCGTCAAATGGGATGATGATCATCTCGTTGCCTACGTGCAAGGTAGTGACATTGATAAGGAGAAGCTACACGATCACTGCTGCTCTCGACTACCACCCTTTATGGTTCCATCAATAATCATACTGCTATGGATCCATTCGAATAGCATGTCTCGTGAACACTCTTTGTTTATGCTGCATAGGGAGAAGTTCAAATGTGCGTTCTTCTGAAAGAGTATGCAAATAGGAATGGTCTTAGTGGTTATTTAATCATGCCGGAAAGTCGTTTGCTTCGTATTTATGTATTGATGTTCGACGATAGTATTGTGTTTGTCTGTATGTTTCTGCAAACACATCCATTTATTTCAAGAAACTATGTGAAGTTTTTTGTGATTTTAGAGAGGATAGTCTAACTGGTATTTAGTATCTTTATGGGAAAGTGTATCAATAGATGCGAGAATGGTTTATGATGATGAAATGTAGTAATTGGGAGAAGGATTCGCTTGTCAAATATATTATTGATGAGATAGTTAAATATATTGTTGGGTTCTTTTAATTACTTTTCGTTTTGCGCATTTGCACGGTATCTGCGCAATTTAGATGCGATTTCGTTGAAACGATGAGCAGAATGTGGTTTGTGATGGATACCTCCTTAGAGAAAATTGAAGCTTGAAAAATTGTTTTTTTGCCTATTGGTATTAGAGATCTGAGACTCGCCAAGTTTCTCTGCCTCGCCTCGTCTCGCGGCAGGGTTACCAGATCTTCCGAAATGACAGAAAAAATTCCGAATTTTGACTTTTTTCCGACGGTGTTCCGAATTTCCAAATTCTTCCGAATCGAGATTCTTTTCCGAATTTTTTCCGAATTTCACTTTTTACTTCGCAATTTACTCAGATGAACATATAACAGCTGTTGACCTTTATCGAATTATTTCTGATTTAATTTAAAAAATTTGAACAACGACTGGACGATCATTATTTTGGCAATAAAGCACATACGATACTCAACTGTTTAAAGATTCTGATAAGAATAAAGCTGAAGAATTACAACAATCATTTGAATCATTCATCAAAGTTACTATTGAATATAGTAATTCATATTTTGATAAAGATCGCAATTTCTGTGAAAAATTATTGGTTTTTGATTGTCATTCTACTTGATTTCTCATAGGGGAATATGTTATGAACGTTCTTGATCTGATCAAGATTGATGATTCAAATAAAGATGAACTATATAATGAATATTGTGAACTAAAATTTATGTAGAATAATTTGAAAAATAAAAATGTGACATGGAATAAATAATAAAATCATGTATTTCAAATAAAGATGCTCATAAAGCATAATCAACAGCATACAACGAAGGAAGTCGTTTATGTGATGACAG